TTTGTATATTAAAAGTGATCAATTTTTAACACTAAATTCTGAAGTCAAGATTAGAGGATTTGCAAGTTCTAGTTAGCACATCACTGTCAATGTGGATTTTGGTTACCGGCAGTTAGTACTTGTTTACACCATAAATTGTAAAATTTTAAATTAATTCCACGTGTAAAATTTTTATTGGTTGAAGGAGTTTGAGCCATGTTAGATTCGGATTCTGGGCCCCATGACAGATCAGCACTTGTGTTGGCAAAATAAGAGAGGTAAAGATAATTTTTTATGGAGTAATTATCTTTTGGAAACAGAAACAGATCATCCGTGCCTAGAGGAAAAATGTATTAATTTATTCTCCATAAATCTGGTTCCTTGGAAGCTTATCTTTGATGGATCTAGCACAGATTCCATGTCTGGGGTAGGAATTGTTATTATCTCTCCAACTGGTTTGAAAACCCAAATGTCATTTCAGCTAGATTTCAATTGCACAAACAACCAAGCTGAATATGAGGCATTGATTATTGGGTTGAAAGTGTTGGTAGAGCTCAAGGTACCTGTGGTAGAAATAATTGGTGACTCACAATTAATTTTAAAGCAATTAGAAGGTGAGTACAAGTGCACTAGTTTGTCTTTGGCACCTTATTTTGCTTTGGCAGTACAGCTCTTGGAGGAATTTGATGATGTAATCTTGAGGCATGTTACTCGAGATTTGAAAACAGAAGCAAATGAGATGGCACAAATTGCCTCAGGCTTAAAAAGCCCAGAAGGCGTACTGAGCAGAATTGTTGTTGTGGAAAAACGAATTCTGCCATCTATTCATATGCATGGTATGGCAGTTTCTGCTTGTTCCATAGATGTAACCCAGACAGATTGGCGCTATCCAATCATGGAATACCTCAAAAATCCAAATTTTAAGGCCTCAAGAAGAACAAAAATGCAGGCCTTGAATTATGTTCTGTTAGAAGATGTTCTTTATAGAAGAGGTTATTTATAGAAGAGGTTCTTTATAGAAGAGGACATGATGAATTACTTTTGCGTTGTCTTGGTCCAGATGAGTACTGCCAGATTATGTCAGATGTGCATAATGGAATCTGTGGTGCACACCAAGTTGGAATTAAGATGAGATGGCTAATTCGTAGACATGGATTCTTTTGGCCATCGATCTTGAAAGATTGCATCAGCTATGCTAAAGGTTGCAAAGCCTGCCAGATTCATGGACCACTGCAGAGAGTTCCAGCATCAGAACTCCATCCAATCGTCAAACCGTGGCCATTTTGAGGGTGGGCCATAGATTTGATTGGTAAAGTTTATCCCCCTTCAACTAGAGGGCATTTCTTTATTATTGTTGCCACAGATTACTTTACCAAGTGGGTGGAAGCAAAGCCAATGAAGAAGGTTGATCAGACCAATATTATTAAATTTCTTAAGGAAGAAATCATTCACAGATTCGGTTTACCAGAAACAGTGACTTCAGATTAGGGGACAGTTTTTGTTAGTGCACAAGTTGAAGCATTTGCAAAAGAAATGGGATTTAGGTTACTCACTTCAACCCCTCATTATGCTCAAGCCAATGGTCAAGCGGAAGCTGCCAACAGAATTGTGATAAATCTGTTGGAAAAGATGGTTGATGATAATCTAAGATGTTGGCATGAGCTGTTATCTAACACAATCTGGGCTTACAGAACTTCACAAATGAGTTCTACCAAGGTAACTCCATTCTCTTTAACTTATGGACATGATGCTGTTCTGCCCATGGAGTTGTCTGCTAGATCATTGCGTATAGCAATTTAACATGGTCTCACTTCTAGAGAATATAATGAAGCAATGATTCTAGAGTTAAAAGACCTTGAAGGTATGTGATTGACGGCCTTAGATAGGCTGCAAACGCAGAAATTAAAAGTGGCTCGAGCATACAACAAACGGGTAAAATCCAGAAGTCTGGCAGAAGGAGATCTGGTATGGAAAGTAATTCTGCCACCTGGAAAGAAAGACCCCAGATTTGGGAAATGGTCTCCAAATTGGGAAGGACCATTTCGCATACATGAAATGCTTAGAGGAGGAGCATATTGGCTTGAATCATTAAATGGAGAGTTATATCCTCAAAAAATAAATGGAATCTACCTTAAGCCTTACTATCCTATGGTATGGGAGGCTAGGGGTTTAGATACCATTGATTCTACCTAAGACAGATTTGAGGTAGGGTTTGTATAGTATTTTATTTCATTATTTAGCATTTTATCATTCAATAAAAAGTGCTGAGCCGAGTCTGCAAGTAGGCCAAATATGGTTGTGAACAACCACAACGGCCAGATTTCGGCCATGACAGATTTCAACATCTACCAGAGTATGAACAAAAAGTACAACAAGCAGGTTTTCAGAATATGAGCCAAGAAAGAGATCAACATTGAAAACATGACAATGTGCAATTTCAACCAACAAAGAGACAAGGAGATACATAGAAGAAAAATCAACAAAGGTTGTTTTGCCAAGTACTCCATTCTTCTCTCATATTCTTGATTTCTTCAACGGCTTCATCTGCAGAGGCTGTGAAAGAAGGTAGCTGGTCCTTGATCTTGGCAGCAGATTTCAAACCAACTTCCATGTCTATGCAGAGCTTGTTTCTTTGATCTGCCAAATTCTTCTCAGTTTACTCCGCAAGCAGAACTTGGTTTCTTAACTCTAAAAGCTTGGCTTCAAGGTTAGAGATTTCTTCTTTAAGCTCTTGGAGATGTTTGACTTGTGTGACATGAGCCTCCTTTGCTGCCAAGAATTCTTCCTTTTTCTTAAAGACAACGACAGTGCTATCCGCTACAGATTTCCTCACAGATTCTGCAGCTGCTACTTTGCTCTCAAGTACCCGGAATCTCTTGCTGAGGTGTGTATAAATGGTGGTGAAGTCTGCCCAGAACTTTTGATGAGTAGATGATAATTGTGGAGCTCGACTAAGGATCTGAGCCGATTCAAAGGCGGTTGGCTAGTCCGGCACTTTATAGAAATGAGAAGGATCACCGTCAAGGAGCTCTTGCATGGTCATAATAGCAAAGCTAATTTGCTCCTGGGTAGGGAGATTGATATCGAAATTCGCTTCTTCAGCAACAGCCTTCCCTTTACTATCTGTTGCAGATCCAGATTTAGCCGAAGGATCCATCAACATGTCCAGCTGGGCAAGAAGTTCATCCTCCAAATCATCATCAATCATAGGCACATCAATAGCAACACTCTACAAATGTGGAGACAAAAGATCAAAAATAACAACTAGTAGATATGGTGACAGATTTCAAGATCTAAGCAGATTTCAGAACAGTGAAACAACCTCAATGTCATCAACATGAACATGCCTAACAGGAGAAGCTACGGGTGTAGGGGTATTCTCTTTGTCCGGGCTTAGATTGATGAGTTCATTTGGTCTAACTGTTTTAAAGCATTTGTTTGCTATGCGTGAAGAGAATCTAGAATCCCTAACCTTTGTGGCGAGTGAAGAACCATCACCAGATTTGGTACGAGAGGAGTCAGAATTGCTTTCACCACTCTCAGCAGATATGTCTTCAACAGGGTTTGTTGTGGCAGCAGGACCAAGGGAAACACCTTCTGTTTTATCAGGTTGAGTCTCGGTTTCCGTGGTAGAAGTGGACCTCGAGGGAGAGGTAGACTTGATAAGTTTCTTGGCTGCAGATGGTTTAACTGCTGACCTCTTGATCCCTAAATATATAAAAAAAAGGTGTGTTAGCAGAGAATATGTCACAAAGTTGTAAGTTAAAGCGGATTTACCTTCGGTTCTTCGCTGCTTGGAGGGAGTAATTTCTTCTGTGGAATCTGCAGGAGTAGCAATTTTCCTTTTGACTTGAGTTTTGGGAGCTCTCATTGGCAGATCTAGCTTGTTCATTTGGGCGGCCATGGTAGATTCCAGGTCTTCACTTTCCTTTACAACTTTCTTCTCTTCAAATTTTTTGGTGAGTGGTGGAGGGGCTAGAGCAGAAATATTGTCCATAACACCGAGGAACCGAGGATGGAAGTAGTCTCACCACCAACTTCTGTAGGAGGAAGTGCAGCTCGGTTGAAATGAAGGGTCTGGCAAGATCAATGTCTGCAAAGTCTTTGTGATATCAACAAGCTTGGCGACCAAAATGTTTGAATCCCTAATCATAAACCGAAGAGGATAGCTGTGGTTGAAGGAGAACAATGGTGGGAATGGTATGTCTTGGCAGTATCCAAGCTACCAGCAGAATTGGTTCGGTGCATAGAGCTGCATGCCACATCTGGAGTTGAGAGTGTTCAAACTACAGCCAACAAACAAATCTCGGGAGGTCACAGAAACAGATCAAAATGCTCAAAAATCTAGGGATTCGACATCGGCCCTGTACCATGAAGGACCGTGAGATTTGCCTGGAAACACAGCAAAGTTTGCATCAGGTCTGTCAATAGAAAGAGAAGCAAAAAACTTGAAGCACTCCTCAAAGCTTTTCTTGTTCTCTACAACATTCTTGAACATGAAGCCATAAGTGAGCAGATCTCGAGCTGGAACAGTAGATGAGACAGGAGCGAGTGCCAGAAAATAAGAATATAGTCACAACTGCAAAACTCAAAGCGGCCTACCACTAATGACTAAGTAGTGAGCCGTGATATCTTGGCAACTCCTGTATAAATGAGTAAGCAAAAAAGGACCCAGAGCCAATTGTCTACCATATGCTAAAACAGCAGCTAAGGGAATAAACTCTTTAGTGGGACCTTTACAAGCAGAGCAGACTATATATTTGCATATTAAAGTAAGTAGAAATGAAATATGCTCATCAGTACTAACAGGCTTACTTTTATCATAGGCAGACCTCACAAAAGCTGGATAAGAGGGCTTCGACTCTGCATTGTACTCAACACCTGGAGGCAAAGTTAATAATGCTGAAATTTCTTCTCCAGTGCAAGGCAACCCAGTCAATGAACTGACATCAAAAAGGCTCATAGACATGGCTTCACAAGGAAAATGAAAACAGTTGAAAGAGCCAGACCAAAACAATAAAGCCGAACCCAAGACTGACTTATCCATGTTGAATTTGCATTTGGAAAGTTGTATAAATTCAAACAAACCCACATCTTTCCAAATTTGGCCAAAATTAGGTTCCAGGCGATCTATCCAGTCCACCCATTCTGATTTCCTCCAAGCTGGCCAAGCTCCAAAAGATCCAACTCATTTACTTTAGTCAGGTTTCACTTGAAAAAGGAAAAGATGTTCTTTTGGCTGTGGGTAAATGGAGGCAAGTGAAGCTGGTGGATGAGACACAAAATATGGACCCAAAATTTGGGATTTTTTATGAGGAACAAAAGTTTGATTTGAATGCCATGGTTTATGTTGTTGGAGTACCCGGTTTATGCCATCTTGGAGATTTTGGGTTTGAAAGAGTTTAACTAAATTTGCAGAAGGTGATTTCAAGCAATGAGTGGCCTTTGAATCGACCATTGAAGCAGATCTGGTGGGCATGGATTGCTCTTCTCGGTCACTGGCCATGGAAATAATTTTTGCAGGAGAAGGTTGTTTGATGAAGTCACTGGACATGGACATAAGACAAATCTGCACAAAAAAAAAAAAAAAAGAGAAGTCAGTCGGCAGTCACGGACAAGGTGGATTTCCGATAGGGTCCACTGGACACAAGCAAGGCAAATTTTTGCAAATAAAGAGCAAAAGGAAGTCAACCGGTAGATACCTGTGAGGCAAGAAGAGTCACCGGGGGGACCATTGAGTATGGTAGCAGATCTGGACAAGCAAAGGAAGAGAGGGCAGCTGGCAGAAAATCTGGGATGTTTAAGGAAATGGGTTGCTGATTTTGGTGGATTTGGAAAGAAAAAGTAAAAAAAAAAAAAAAAAGGGAAAAGAAGCCGGTAGTGACTGGAAGAGGCTTAAAGGTCAAAAGATGGGTAGAAATAGAGGAAGTTGTTTGGTGAATAAAAGAAAAAGGAGGAGCAGCAGCCGACGGTAAAGCAAGGTAAAAATGGAAGGAAAAGTCGGTGGTGATGTTGGCCCGTGGAAGATGAAAAAGATAAGCTATTCAATGGGGCCACAAGTGATAAAGAAAAAGTAAAAAAAAAAAAAAAAGGGAAAAGGAAAAGAGGCAACCGGCAATGACCCAAAAAGGTTGAGGTAAGTTTGACTTTTCCTTACTTTTTGGGTTTTTGAAAATTAAATGAATTTTGAAAAGGAGTGGCCGGGGTTTATCTAGAAAATTGCTCCAGGAGATATTTGTGAAGTTGCTTTTAAAGGGAATTTGACATGTGGCATGAGTAATTATGGTGTGAGAGACAATTTATTTAATTAAAATACTTGGATTTATCTTTATAAAATCAAGTGTTGGGGGCATTATTTACACCATAAATTGTAAAATTTTAAATTAATGTCACGTGTAAAATTTTTATTGGTTGGAGGAGTTTGAGCCATGTCAGATTCGGATTCTAGGTCCCATGACAGATCAGCACTTGTGTTGGCAAAATAAGAGAGGTAAAGATAATTTTTTATGGAGTAATTATCTTCTTGAAACAGAAAGAGATAATGGCAGTTGGAAAATAGGAGGAGATCATAGTTAAAAAGGGGGTTTTATTTGATAAGAGTACAGGTGGCGAAATCTGCAAGGGGATGAGACTAGGTCAAAAGGTGAGGTGTTCTACTATTTCAAAAAACCACCCATGATTGAGTAACTGCAGAAAGTGGAAGTTACCGCCAGCACAAGGAGAACAAAAAGGGAAATTTTGGAAGGAAGAAGGGACGGCCAACCCTACTCGAACAACTGCAAATTTTCATACTTTTATTTTCTCTGCAATTTGCTTCCAGATTTTGAATTTCAGCACAAATTCCATTAGAATTAGGTTGTTTTTCATCATTTCAGTAGGCAAATTAATTCATGTATTCAGTTCAACAATTTCCTTTCATGCAATGAACTTCAATCTTTCAAGTTTATGCAAGGTATTGTTCTCTTTTCATTTGCAATTAATTTAATGTTTATGATAAGTAACATTTTATTCAATAATTACTTATGTGGTGTTCATACCTCTTTTCAACCTCAAGCATGGTAGTTTAATTACTGTTCACGTTAATTTTTAATGTTAATTAAGATGAAATCTTTAATTTTGCAGCATGTTAATTTCCAAATTTGCTAGTACATTACATTTTAATTCAACAATGAACATGTTTAGTTTAATTTGCGTACAGCTTTTTCTCGCAAATTTACTTTAAATTGCAAGTAATTTAGAATAATTAGGATTTGTTAATTTTAAGTCACGGTAGTGTTTAAATCCTTAGAGTTGTCCAAGGCAGATTTCGTAACCCATTCTGCAGGAAGGTATCCCTCCTTCTTGCAAATCGTCTGAAGGCGCAAATTTCATTTTAATCTAACGTTCTTCCCGCCATCTGCAAAGAGGTCGACCGTGAAGAAGGAAAGGGTCGTTGGGAAAGTCCTCCTTTCTTACTTTCAGTAAAGTAAGTGGCACGCCCGCATCCAGATTTCACATGTGCGAGGCCACTAGAGGATTTTTGAGGAAACAGTACAAAAAAAAAAAAATCACTGCCACTGGTGGTGTGCCCCAGCAATGGCTTGTGTACAAATATAAATATCCGGGATCCTATGTCACTTGTGGTCCAAACGTCCACGATAATGACTTTTCAACAGCCTCTTTAGAGGCCAAATGATAAAAAATAACACAAGCTCACTACATTGGGCTGGCTCTCTTACCTTCTTTTTTTTCAGCAAAAAGGGCAAAAATTTTGAAGTAGTCTGCACTCTGCACTCTCCTCTAATGTGATAGGTGGTGCAGCTTTTATCCCAGCTGTTGGATCTAGCCATCTAACTGGTAGCTTTTAATTTTTTTGTAATCTTAATGATACAGTATCAAATTCATAATTGCCAGTAACCACAATCTTACAGAATTTTCTATGAACTTACGAATGTCTGGGACCCTATGCCTAGTGATTGTACTTCTTATCTTCAATACTCGTCCAGTACTCGTCCTGACGTCCACAATAATGGCTTGTTCATGGAATACCAATAAAATTGATAGCACAACCACAAATAGTCTTGGGGTAAATGTCAATTATTGTCCTTTTATTATAAAAAATGATAATAATTAAAATTTTTTACTCATATAAAAAAAAATTGAACATTTTACTATCAATTTTACCTTATGTCCACCCTCTAATTTAATTTAACTTGACATATGCTCCCTCTACTATTCAAAAATACCTCACAGTCGTCCCTCCCTCCATTTTTAGGGTAACGACTGTTTGTTCACCGTTAAAAGGGAGACAGTTAGACGTTCGAAATATTTTTTGATTATTTTTTTTTCCAATCGGGCATGGTGGAACCCACCCGTGCCACATCATCATAAAGCTTTGACCTTCATCAATTTCTTCCCCTGCAACTTCCCCATTATAAAAACCTCAAATTTCTTCAATTTCTCTATGTTTCCTTAGAATCAAACCCTCCATGGTAGCTGAATGTAATTGCACCAAACCAGAAGTCCTTCTTCAGTTCACGTCTTCATTTCGGATGAACCTGCAAAACCCCGAGGTGGGTCCTCGGGGTAGACATTCCGATGCTTAAGTCAGCAATAATCGGGGCTACCTTTAGAGTGGAGATAAAATGAGCTTAGGGTTGGTTTCAATTACCTTTTTGAGGTGGCCCCTGGGGGGTATTTATAGGCCTTCGTGAGGAACCCACGTGGCACGCCAAGCAAGATAATTGGAGTTTGACGTGTCTCTCCAGACGGTTATTTCAGGACTGGGAAATTGAGAGATGTTCAGATGTGAGCATGTCCACCGTAACTGTTGTGCAGCTTGTCATAAGGAATCCGGTGTGGGCATGCTTATTGTCGCTATCATGCAGCTGTTTAAGCGGGAAGTGTTGGGTTTATCCTTCACTTCGGTTATAAAGGAATTACTGTCGTACGTTCGAGGTTGGGCACCTCGGACCTATCCTTACACTATTTCCCCCTTGAAGTCATTCACTTGTGAATGATGTGGTAAGAGAAGTATATGATAGCAGGTGATAAATATAATACAAGATCAGCTGATGTGAGAAGCATGTTATGTAGCTGTATAATACTATTAAAGTAGGTGACAGTGGGTTACTATGCCAAGAACTGAGGTGAAACATATGGAATTGGATCATTATGGCCGGAGCCGAAGTGAAACGTGTGACGCTGGGCCACTGTGGGTCGGAGCCGAAGTAAAACATGTGACACTGGGTCACTGTGGCTAGAGCCGAAGTAAAACATGTGATGCTAGGTCACTGTGGCCGGAGTTGAAGTAAAGCACGTGACGTTGGGTCACTGTGGGTTGGAGCCGAAGTAAAACATGAGATCGTAGTCATGTGGGCCGTAGTCAAAGTAAAACATGTCACTGGGTCACTGTGGGCTAGAGCCGAAGTAAAACATGTGACATTGGGTCATTGTGGCCGGAGCCGAAGTAAAGCATGTGACATTGGGTCATTGTGGGAGCCGAAGTAAAACATGTACTGGGTCACTGTGGGCTGGAGTCGAAGTAAAACATGTGACACTAGGTCATTGTGGGTCATAGCTGAAGTAAAACATGTGACGCTGGGTCACTGTGGGCCAGAGCCGAAGTAAAACACGTGACACTGGGTCACTGTGGGCCGTAGCCGAAGTAAAACTGGTGACTCGTGGTCACTATGGTCGTAGCCGAGGTAGAATTGGTGACTCGGTGTCACTATGGTTGGAGCCGAGGTAAATGATGATGACCGTAGTCATAGCGGCTGGAGCCGAAGCAATAAGTAATGACTGGAGTCATGTGGCCAGAGCGAGGTAATAAGCAATGACCGGAGTCATAAGGGCAGGAGCCGAAATAAAAGTAATGATCCAAGTCATGTGGTTGGAGCTGAAATAAAATGTGTGACTCGGAGTCACTATGGTTGTAGCCAAAGTAAAGATGCATAACCTATAGTCGTGTTATGGTTGTAGCTGAGAATGATGCCTTGAAAATGAAGACTCGAAAGTGATGATTTGTAACCTCATGAGCCATAATAATGGAAGTCAAACTTCTGAGAGTCATGCTCTATAGAGCTAGGATCAGAACCAGTTTTTGTAGAGTTGATTGAATGCCAATTTTGGTAGCTAGAGATGCCTACCACAGAATCCCACCTTGAGATGCCCATAAGAAAATCTTGGCCTCTCGAGTCATAGCATAAAATCAAACCCCTTTGAGGGTTGTGCTTTGCAGAGTTAAGATTGAACTGAGCTTTCATAGAACAAATGAGTTGACAAGCTGATAGTTGATGGACGCAAGCTCTTGTAGATCGAATAGGCTAAAAAAGCCAATAGCTAATGGGCTCAAAGGCCAACAGTATTTTTTGATGAACTGATAAGTTTAAAAGTTGATAACATATTTCTGAGTCTTCTAAGCTAAGGAGTTAACAAACTCATGAGACCTGTAAGAATTCATTCTAAACATAGAACTTGACAAGATACCATTAGTTCATCAATAATCAATAATATATGAGATGCATCAACATTAAAGTGGCACAATAATTTGGAATTAAATATAAATGTTTGTGACATGAGTCATCAAAATAAACAATGCTAAAATATGAGTTTCAAAATATATTCAAGCAACAAGTTAAGCACATGCCAAGTAAAATGTGAAAGTTTATTTTTGTTGCTTATGTATTCCTACTCCCCCTCTTAAAAAGAGATTTATCTCTTTAAGTTAGAACCAATAATAAAGACCACCAGCTCGTGGATATCACTAGCTTGTGGATTATTCCACCATTTGCATGAGGCTCCACAAATGTATTAATATAAATAATTGTCATTTAAGCCATTCGCTTATAGTTGAAACATGAAGAATATACTAGATTCAGTATATTTAATAAATAGGGGCTTAGCATATCTTATTAATAAATGGCCCATGAGAGGTGGAACAGGATGGCTAGTGAAATGGCAAGTTGGTTACAAGCTAGACCTGAGCTCAGCTGTCATAAGGATGAGCTCAAGCAGTTGAGTTCATCTAAAGTTGTTTACCTCATCCAAGGTGGTTCACCTTGGATGGGCTAGCATGAGGATAAGCTCAAGCAGTTGAGTTCATCTTAGGTTGTTTACTTCATCCAAATGGGCTGTCATGAGGATGAGCTCAAGCAGTTGAGCTCATCTGAGGTTGCTTACACCATCCAAGGGAGTTCACCTCGGAATGGGTTGTCATGAGGATGAGCTCAAGCAGTTGAGTTCATCTGAGATTGTTTGCCTTATCCAAGGTAGTTGACCTCGAAAATGACTATTATGAGGGTGAGCTCAAGTAGTTGACCTCGGAATGGGTTATCATGAGGGTGAGGATGAGCAAAAGCAGTTGAGTTCATCCGAAGTTTACCTCATCCAAGGTAGTTGACCTCGGAATGGGTTATGATGAGGATGAGCAAAAGCAGTTGAGTTCATTCGAGGGTATTTACCTCATCGAAGGTAGTTCACCTTGGAATGGGTTGGCATGAGGATGAGCTCAAGTAGTTGAGCTCGGATTGAGCTCATCCGAGGATGTTTACCTCATCCAAGGTATTTCACCTCGGAACGGGTTGTGAGGATGAGCTCAACCAAGTTTTATGAACTTGTTTAAATTCCTAAGTTAGCACATGAAGTTTATGTTGTCAAAGTCCAAGGCTGACCATATTATATGATAAGGGTACAGATATATACACATATATATCTTAAACTTAGTATCACAGTTAATAATTATAACTAAAGTAAATTATGAAGTTGCACCTTTTAATCATAGGTTCCTATTAAAAGTCATAATAGATGACTCTTCTCCCCCCTTAACTTGCACATTTGGGGCCGCTAAACATAAATGTTGTAATCATAAATTACACTATTTGCGTTTTTATGCTTGAACATGTCCAATAAACAAGCAGTCATGCATGTGGTAATAAAAAGTCTTTCTAGCTTGTAAATATAAGAACAAAAATTGGACATGCAAAATAACTCATAAAAATCTTAAATGTGCAAAGTAATTTTAATATTTCTAATATGTAACACTTACTTGACTTGCAGAGCAGAATTAATTTATACTTGAGAAAGAATTGTGCTTAATGAGATAGAAACTTGAGAAAGAATTTAGCTTCTTACGAATGATGTTAACTCCTTGCCGTGACTCCAAAGCAAATGTGGAGAGAAAAAATCTAGCCTCTCATAAATAATGCTAGAGAAGAAATTTACTTGATCATCTATGTAAGCTATTGAGCTTTATGGTTAGGGTCCATACCCTTTTAAAATTGGATGGAGGAGTTGTTCATAACTCGTATATAATTTTGATGGAGGAGCTCACCATAAAGGGATTTCTCTAGAACCCACCCCACATGGAGTCCCTGCACTTTTCCATCTCTAAAATAGCAATGGATATTTATAATCATAAGTGCAAATGAGTAAAGTAGCATGACTATGATATATAAAAAATGAGATGGCAAAATTATATCATGAATGCAAAAACAAGTGCAGAATGAATGCAAAGAATGCGGAAAGCAATTAATAATAAATTTCAATATAAGATTGGACCAAGCTTGGGCCAAAGCTCTAATTTGCTGTAGAGCTCAATTGCTTTCTTGACAACCTGTATCACAAGGACTTGAAAAAAAGGAGAAATCAAAGGCATCCAGTTTTATAATCAAGAAAGTATATATAAAATGAATAATAGAAAAAGATTACAAATTCATCTTTTTGAATTTTCAAAACAATACTTGGCTGATAAACTAAATTTATATACATATTAATTTAAAATTTATGCCTTGATATTATTGACATTTGGATGAATTTTATGAAAATTTACTTAATTTTGCATAATTTTCATTCTGTGCTGGAGATGACTTAATTGGAAACAATCACAATCTTTATGAGTAAATTGCAAAGATATGAAATTTGAGGATTAAATTTTGTAGAATCCAAAAGTAAGGGGTCGGGACTGTAATTTTACCGTTAACAGAATTTGCAGAGAAGGACAAAAACCCGACACAGACTCTTGAGAATGGATGCAGGAAAAATGTCGGCACCTTGTTGAGGATGTTGACACCTTGCAGCTCGTGCTTCACATCTTTCAGCTCATGCTTGACCTCTGCACCTCGTGTTCAAGTTCTGCACTTCGTGCTTGGCCTCTATAGCTCGTGGCTGACCTCAGCAGTAAGTGTTTGAGCTCTACAGCTCGTGCTCAAGTTCTGCACTTCGTGCTCGACCTTTGCAGCTCCTGGTTCACCTCGGCAGCTCGTGTTTGAGCTTTGCAGCTCGAGGTTGAGTTCTGCACTTCGTGCTTGACCTCTGAAGCTCGTGGCTGACCTCGGCTAGAAGTGTTTGAACTCCGCAGCTCGTGCTCAAGTTTTGCACTTCGTGCTGGACCTCTGCAGCTCGTGGCTGACCTCGGCAGCAAGTGTTTGAGTTCTGCAACTCGCGCTCAAGTTCTGCATTTCGTGTTGGACCTTGGCAGCAAGTGTGAGCTCTGCAGCTCGTGGTTGACCTCAGCAGCTTATGTTTGAGTCAACCTCTGAAGCTCATGGCTGACCTCGGTTGTAAGTGTTTGAACTTTGTAGCTCGTGCTCAAGTTCTGGACTTTGTGCTCGACCTCGGCAGCAAGTGTTTGAGCTTTGTAGCTGGTGGGTTTTGCTCGGTGCATGTCACCGAGCTGGGAGACTACTTTGCTGCTGGTGAGATGGGCTGCCTTCTGCCACTGCTTTGAGCTTTGCCGCTGCCGAGCTGAATTGCTTTATTGCTGTCGAGCTGGCCTGCTTTGCTACTGTTGTGCTTGGTTGTTGTTCTACTGCCGAGCTGGGCTGCCTTGTTTCTGCCAAGCTGCAGCACCGCTGAGCTTTGTTGTTGCCGAGGTGGGAGGCTGCCAAGTTGGTAGATTGCTTTGTCGCTACCATCAAGCTCGGGCTCGTCTTGTCTCGCCTCTTTTGAACTATAATATTGTCCAGAAAGAGATCAAGGCAAAAAATACAAAATAAAATAAGATAATGGAAAGAAGATTATAGATAAATAAGGGAGCAAGGGAAATTTCAATTAATTATCTTGAGCTAGCATCAGTTGATTGTCCACCAACATCTGAACGAGCTCCTTTTCCACCATAGGTTGTGCTTGCCACCCAGTAAACCCCTTTTACATGCCCGTTACCCACAGCTCATAGCAAATAGCTTGTGCTCGAGCAGAAGTGAGCAGCTCGGGCTCGAGCAGGACGTTCCCAGCTTGTGCAGGATGTTCGCAGCTCGTGCTTGAGCAAGATGCTCGCATTTCGTGCTCTAGCATTCCGCAACTCGGACTTCAGCACTCCACAACTCGTGCACCAGTAAGAAGTTCGCAGCACATGCTCTAGCAAGGACTTCGTAGCTCGTGCTCCAACAAGGATTTTGTAGCTTGTGCTCGAGTAGGGTGTTTGCAGCTCATGCTCTAGCAAGATGCTTGCAGCTCATTATTGTCGAACTCCCAGGGGGCTACTTGGGGCAACGTGTAGATGCTTTCTTCCTTCCACGGATGGGGAACAGGAGGTTGTTGCAGATGTGCATGGTGTGTTCACGGGTAAATTCTTCGCGCCTCCAAATGGTTCGGTGATGCGACGTGGGCGGTTGAATGCCTCTACTTTCAACTGAGCATGAGATGAGACTGTTGGCTTCTCAGAGCAGCATGTGTTTTCCCGGTAGTGGTTTAACCGTCATCCTGAAGGGTGGTGTCCAGTCCCTCCAGAGCTTCCATCTTTAACACTACCATCAGCTTTTTCTGTCATTGGAACCATAAATTTTTGCTCCCTAGCAGCTGATTGGAGGGATTTAATTTTCTACTAGTAAGCTGCCTAGTCAGGGACTTATCCCTTGGATTCAAACTCAAATGGTTTATTGCCCAAGGAGGATGCTTGTGGTTGGAAGCTGAACTAGGAGAATGCTTGGTGCTGCCGAGCTTAAGGGGTTGGGCAACTATTTTGTCACTGTCGAGCTAGAAGAATGCTTCTCGTTGCCGAGTTGGAAGTTCTTCATGAGCTGAGGACAATGGTATTTGAGCAGCTCGGACTTTGATGACGAGGTCGGAGAGCTTAAGGGGTTGGGCGACTATTTTGTCGCTGCCGAGCTGGAAGAATGCTTCTCTTCTGTACAAGCGAATAAACCCATTCTGTAAATTCATCAGATCTACTTTTGCGACTCAAAAAAAACAGCCATGAGCCTTTCACTCATCTTCTCTTCCTTCTGATCAACCGGATCAACATAAAAATAAAGCTTTTTATTCGAGTTCCCACAGACGGTGCCAATGTAATTGCACCAAACCAGAAGTCCTCCTTCAGTCCACATCTTCACTTCAGATGAACCTGCAAAGCCCCGAGGTTCATCCGAAGTGAAGATGTGGACTGAAGAAGGACTTCTGGTTTGGTGCAATTACAGTAGCATCTTCAATTCTTCTTTTTCTTCTCTCCTCTTTGTTTCTCAAAATCTTCAGTCTTTCCCTCTGTGAGAAATACATCCCTTGAATATTGCATTTGCATTCAATTACATCTTTCACTTTCTTGATTCTTTTACAATCCATTTTTTCCTTGCTTCTTTCTTGTTTTCAGGAAATACCCATAAGTTCGTTCTTTCTTTTTCTCCAAGAAATTTGGAGGGTTTGTAGAGGAGTCACTGTTTTGGGGGTTTACTATCTATCCTTGGGTCTTTATTGATTGGTTCTAAAAAGGTATTGTTCAAAAGGGAAATGAGCAAAGATGTATTTTACTCCGGATATTTCAAAGAGTAAGAAACGTTTATTTCAAATTCAAGCTTTAACCCATGAATTTCGATATCAGAATGAATTCGAGATTTTGCCGATGGATGCTTTTTAGTTGAGAACTAAGATTTAATTAATGTAATAAACTCCAACTAGTTCTTCTTTTCCAGTTGAATGC